TTATGACCACCCCATCAGTACAATGAAGTGAATTAGTTATGCAAACAATAATAATAATAAAACCTTGAGAGTATTTGCTTAGAAAGTTTTCAATATTCAGTATTTTTAGAAGTGTCAATGAAGCACTGATGGGGTGGTCAGAATAATCTGGCCACTCAGTGTAGATTGTACACCTGAGGATTTGCCTTTCTTTCAATATTTGACATAGAGGAGGTATTCCCCAAAGTGATGGAACAGTATTCATTAAGGAGTGATCAGTGGCAAGTTGGCAAAGGCTAGGAAGAGAAATAATAGTATTTCTAACAACGGAGTGTGTTGATGTTGAGAGGATGCCAAGAGAAAGGTTTCAAGCAGTGGGAGGAGTAAAAAAGCAAGATGCCTAAAAAGGAGGCGAGTGTGGATTAGAGAAAGAGGGCTTGCATTCTACTACCAATTAAGTGCTTACTATTATGAGAGCTAAAAACTCTACAAAATGAATAAATGGGTTAAATAGAATGGGGATTACCATTTAAATAGAACGTTCTAACTTTGCTTCAGATCTTGGGAATTCTACAAAACCACAAAGGAGAAAATTAGGTGAGCAAAATAGTTTAATTTGAATTTATTTCAGAAGAGAAGCTGAGGAAAATTTCTGCAGTTAAGTAATGACATTTTGAATTAGGAGACGTTTATATGAAAGCAATGTCCAAGGATAAAGTTAAATAGTAAGAAATTTCAAAAAGACCTAGAAAAATCTGAGCTAGAGACCTGAGGCACTTTAGAAAGAGGAACAAAGAAAATGCAAGCTCTCTCTATATATAGGAAATAATTAGAAAAGTAGAATTTGACCTATATTAAAGGAAAATATTACACATGCCTATGAGTAAAGCATAGGAAGACACACACAAACACACACATTCCTTCCTACCTTAAAAACCCCCCTAAAATCTTAATCATAATGCTACTTTTGTTCCTTTTCTAATCTAATTAAAACATGATTTGTTGCCTATTGCCTGTTATCAGTTTATCCACACTGTGGGTTAAATAGAAAAATTAATATTAATTGAGGATGCCATTTTTCTGCAGCATTTATTTAACTAAGTCAGAGACACAGTGATTATTAAAACAAGGCATAATTCCAAATTATGTACCGTGTCACATATGCTAATATGACAAGAAAAGCCAAAGTCTTAACTAGTGTTCCCACTGAAAGATGCCCTTATCAACCCCAAAATGTAATCCCCATTCCAGAAGTTAAATTATACAGCAAAATATTTTCTCAGAATATGAAAGCCTTGTATACTGTAAAAAGAATAAAAGTTCACAATGAAAAATCTTTCTAATTATAATTTCCAATTATAAAGTCTTCTCACAAAACTTCAATTTAGCTTTTATTTATTTACTGATATGATTTAAGTGTTTTGTGTGTTTGCTTTCTTTTAACAAACTTGAGTGGTTAGGATTATCTTTTTAATTTAAGTTTCATAAGAAAGAGAATCACAATGCACATTCCCTGACCAGATTGTATGCATGGCCTATTTATTCAAAATGTTTGATTCCACATGGATTTCCTCTTTTATTTATAGCTTCCAGAAAGAATTCTAATAAATTAGCAGCTCAAGGGCAACCAATTAGGGCTCCAGGCCCTGAGAGCACAGTACCTCAGGCCTGCCACCTGCAATGGTCTCTAGGACCAGGGAAGGCAGACAAAGCCTGAACTTCTGAGTGGAGCAGGAACCAAGTATGAGCCACAAGTGGGTGGTCCAGTGAGGTCAGGGTTAAAGTTCACAGAATAATTTGGAAATTATTCTCAGCTTGGATCTCCTTTATGAGGCCTGAGAATACACCCTTTAATTAGAATACAATTTCCAAAGCAGCCACTCCCTTGACTTTCCAGAGCTCAGTTATTCTCAGAAAAGTAAAAACAGCCTCATCATACTGACAGCTAACAGTCCCCTATAAATTATGCCTTAAATGTCCAACAGAGCAGGCAGCAGGCATCCGGGACAAGGAGATGTTAGCTGTCAGCCCTCGCTAACCACGCTCAAGAATAGGTAAAGAGAAGTCATATTAAACAGAGCCACTCTCCTTCACTTCTTGCTTATGCAGCCGAGTTGTCCCATGGAAGCTTGGAAAAAAAGAGTGGGTTGTACATTTGAAAACGTTCCCACACCCCAACTGGCCTCACTTTTCTGCTGATCCCTCCATCCAGTTAACCTCACACTACAGTGGGAACACTGAAATCAATTCCATGAGAGCAGCTGTCTGCCTCTTCCATGGTGCTTGGGGCTCCACACAGGACTCCTGGAACGGGAGCCAGTCTGATCCTGACTCACCACAGATGTTCCCCTCCTCCCCCACGCGGCTCTGAGCCACAGACATCTTTCCAGGGCCTATTGTTATTACGAAAGATTCAGTGGGCCCGCAGAATGTGCCAGATGTTGAACCAAGAGGAAAACACACATCTCCCTAACTGCAGGGTTAAGAGTGACAAACATTAAATTACATGGAGATGGCCAAATACTCTATGGGAAAGGCTAAAGAAGGAAATTCGGGCAGCTTTGTAACGCTTCATATTAAGGAGTTGGAATAGCAGAAGCTATCACAATATCAAACTTTCAAATACTCTCATACTTAAGTCTGGGTTAAAGGTGACATAAATGTTCCATTTCGGCAAATCCAGATATCCAGATATCAAATCTTTCCTGCAGACCCAATAAAATCGCCTTTGTCAGGAAAAGTGTGACCAGGAAAATAACAAAAAGGTAGTTTTTTAAATTTGTTAACAGAATTCAGAGTCCAATGTCACCCACAAATACATTTAGAAATTATTGCCAGTTTATGTTTCAGGAAGGAGCGGCATTACTGTCATTGGCCATTATCTTTTGAAGATCCATTCATCTGTTGGTTTTCCCAGCACAGCACTCTCAGATGGGGCAATACCTCTCAATCAATCTCTCTCTCTCTCTCTCTCCATTCCTTCAATGTGTATTAGCAGGAAACTACACAATTGTCCCCAAATGCTCCAGTGTCCCATGATACAGGCTTTGTCATCTCAATAAAAAAACGATTTCATGCAATTTACGTTTTATCACTGTACACTTAATCAATATCGACAATAGAGCACTTCATTTTAAATCCATTTCATTTATGGTATGAATTTCTGTGACTATAATAAGTTTTATCAAATAGCACAAAAATTTTAACACAGTAAATATGACTCTCCAAATCCTTATGCAATAGTGGTTGTATTTCGGTTTTTGTCTTAAGAGTTCTTATTCACGTTTTCTTTATGTGGGTCTTGGGAAGGGTGAGTAGGGAATTAAATCAATTATACGAAACACACACACTTAAAATTCTGTGACTATGAAACAAAATGAGAAAACAATCATGCTCCCCAAGGAGGAGATAAAATTGTTTCTGAGACCTCCTCTAGCCCTCACTAACTCTCTGGTTGTTAGGAAATCATAGACAAAATGTGATCTTGTCAATATCTTAAAAAACTATGTTTCATAATAGCAGAGTCAACATTTAAATGGAAGACAATCAATATAAATGTTTTGGGAATAAATGTTCAGTTGAAATAATGTTTATTTGATTCTTTGGAAAAAGCTATATAAAATTGCTGGTCACTAATTTTTTGCTGTTTTTGTTTTTCATCCTCACCAGAGGATATTTTTTCCATTGATTTTTGGAAAGAGTGGAAGGAGGGGGAGAGACACACAGAGAGAGAAACATCAATGTGAGAGAGAGAGAGACATATCAACTGGTTACCTCCTGCATGCGCCTCAATCTGCGGACCAACACTCTATCCATGAGCAAAACTGGCTAGGGCACTCCTCACTAATTTCTGAGCCTAATTTCCTTTCCATTACATTCTCTAAGATGAAAATTTGAAAAAAGATAATGTCTCAAAATTAAATTAAAACACATTCACTTTTAGAGTTTTTGTTTGAAATCTTTATATTTCCATAAATAGTGTTTTTATTGTTACTTTATGTTTTCTACTAAGTTGGTTTTTTCCTGTTTCTGCTTTCTTCAGTTAAGGACAGATAATGGGCATTCTACAGAGGAAAAGAAACATTCAAAGATTCAAAGTAAATGAAATATGTAACACAAGAAAGGGTCTATATAATGAGGTTGTCTGAACTGAATAATTAAATTAAAAATAATGCTTGATTTCCAGAAAAGAATTGTTTTCCTCTGTCTGTGCTTGGACTAGAATAAGACATGGCAACGTGGTTACAATGAAGGAGAATTCCAAAACATATATATTCCTATGCTCTTCCAGGTGAGGCATAGCAGTGATCTTTATACTTATTCATTTACTACAGAGAACAATTCATTACATGATCAATTCATCTTGAATCCACCTGAGGGAACTCAGTGAGCAGAACCTAAGCCCCAGAGGAGAACCTGACAGGAAATCAGCATTCTGAATAGCACCCAAAAGATACTGCTATTTCCAGACATTACCAGAGTAAAATGAAAATATGCCATAGCTTTTGTATACATTTTACACGGCAATCTTAGGAAGAGGAAAACAATTTTTAAAAAAGAAAAAAAGGAGAAGGAGAAGGAGTGATAAACATTTTAATTATAAAAAAAAAAGTTTGGAATCATTTGACAGGGACAAGAACAGGGACTAAAATGGCATTACCAAAGTATTAATTATTGTCCTTCAGCTCTGTCTTTATCTTTTTAGTTTCACAGTCACTTAGAATTGTCTGACTTTCACTTAGTCACTGCTCAAATAGGAATTAAATTTTGTCTACATCTCTCTAAGAACTGAGTCCAAAATTTATAGCTCAATAAATTCTTCATTTCTAAAGAAAGGATGAAAACTGAGAGTATTATTTATATCTTAGTTATAGCCCTATTATTGTAAAATTCTAATGAAAACACTTTCAGATAAATTCTGATTTACAGATTTTCAACAAAATAATACGGAACAATTAACTCAGAGCATAGTATCACAGTCATATCCCCAAATTGCTGCAATTTGCTCTAAAAATACTTACTTCTGATGAGTTCATCCTCTGAACAATTTCCCCAAATGAACTGGTCTTGCATCTCTCCATGTGTGAAGCAGCTATTGGTGGCATGAGTTATATCTCTCTCAGTATTTTCTTTTTCACATTTATCTGAATAAAAAAAATATACATATATTTATTATCATTAAATGTTGCATATCTTTCTCTACTTTTTTCATTTTATAGATTTTTTTTTTAAATTCTTCTAAGTCTGCCAAAATTTAAGAAAATGGGAGCAGTAACTCTACTGACTGCTGCATACATATGGACTCAATAACATTTTTATTGAGCACTTACTACATGCCTAGCATTGAAGAAACAGAGATGTCTACAGGAAAAAATAATCTGTCAAGATTATTGTAAACAAACTGTCAGGACATGGTAAGTGATCAGCCATGACAGAGAAACGTGAAAAGGTTACATCAAGGATGAAAATGAGTAAGTCCACAGGGAGCAGTCGGGAAAGCACCAAAGGAAAGGAGAGTCCAATGAGGGGTAGAGATGAAAGTCAGATGGCAGCTGAAGGAGAAGTGAGGAGGTACAGAATTCTCTTCATAGAAACCTGGGAAAGAGTCAAGGATTGTGCTATAAATCCTCAGAGAGGAAAGGTGTTTAGGATGAGAAATCTATATGTGGATTTCTGGGTTCTCAGGGGGAAAGCCAATAAGTAAGGAAAAGGAACAGCTTATTGGAAACATAGCAAAGGTCTTTAAAAGATTAGTGGGAATTCTCAAAGCAAAGATGGGAGAAAAGCCATTCCAGGTGGGAAAAGAGTGTGGGCAAACTCCAATAGCAGACTTGGGCAAAGGTTCCAACTCTGGACTCAAGTACTCTAAGAGGGGCATTAGGAGATAAGTTAGGAAAGGTCTGAATAGAGACATAGAACGGATCTTTTTAGGTGAGAAATCTAGATCTAATTTAAAAGCAAGAAAGGTGAGTAAAAGTAACCACTGAAGCTTTATGAATTGCCTAATCAGTCATGCTTTAAGAAGATTAGTAAATTCGTATACACTAGGGGTTCTCAATCCTGACTGTACTTTTATTCACTTGGGCCTCTTTTTAAAAAACAGATTTCTAGGCCCCATCACCAAAGATTCTATTTCCGTTTAGGGGAGGGCCGCATAGGTTATCTCACTGCACTTACATCCTTGAAAATCACTGCAGCCTGGGAGTAACGGGGAGAACAGAGCAAGGAGGAAAAGGAGACTTGGCATAGTCCAAGTAGAAGGTGATGAGAGTTTAACCAAATGGATAACAAGATGGGAACGGGGTAGATGTGAGACACTAACCAGAGGCTTGCGCAGATCACTGGGAAGATGGGATTAGTGTGGATTTGACAGAAAACCTGGAAACCAGGAAAATAACGTACGAATTTAAAACATTAGATACACAGAGTAGATGTTTAGGGAGTGTGCTCGGCAACGGAGATACAATGAATTAGGAGACGCAACCCCAGCTTTCATGCAGTTTACAGTCTAGTGGATGAGTGTGGTGCTGGATATTGGAATTTGCAAATCACAAATGAAGTTATATCTAGAAACAGTCATTTTCCTAAACTTGGTTGCTGAAGCCGACCAAAGGATTAGGCTCACCAAAAGAGTGGAATACATGGAAAGAAGTGCCTCAAGTGGGGTCTGCCCCATGAGAAAGGACCAAAGAAGGAAGAGAAGCTACATGATGTCAAGCCCTGGAAGCAAGGAAAGAGCCAAACAGAAGTTGTTAGTCAACTGTATTAACATTCCCAGTGAAAGGGAAAAAAAATCTGCACATGTACCATGGGGATTTCACAACTATTAAAAAACTCTGATACAAAACACATTTCAGCACATGGAAACAGAGGAACACCGACTTAGGACCAAATCCAGAGGCTAAGAACCAAAAAACCAAAATCAGGTCTTCAATGCTTAGTATTTGTAGTAAGCAAAACCACATTCAGATGGCAGTAAAATATAAATTAGGAGCATGCTAAACCAATATGTTCTAGATTTATGTAACATTTACTCAGCATTATCACAGAGAAAATGTAATCTTCCCGAGATCTGTTATTTTCAATTAAAATCTTTACTTTTTTAAACAACTCCAGATATCTTTCCACGGCTGCAGTCAACTCAAGGCCTTTCTGAGATGATCAACAGAAAAGGCTTTTGTATAAACTCACTTGTACACGTGAAATCTCTCATCAGCAGAGGCCAACCTAATTTGCTATTACTGTTATGTAGCTGACGGCCGCCAGGTGTCGTGCTAGTAGGCTTATTCAATTAGTAACTTTAATTGAAGCTGAATGAAATTAATTATATAATTTTGAGTTGTTCAAATATAATTCCATTAAAATTAATTCATGAAACCAGGGCATTATGAAGCATTGCTGACTAAAAGGTATGAATAGGTATGAGTAAAGCCTCTAGACACACTTGACTTAAATTTGAATCGTGTCCAATATTCAAGTGCTAAACAGAGAACCTCTCAATTCTCCACTGAGTAAATGCAATTGTCACACAGATTTAGTACTGACCTTCTCCTAAGAGGAAAATAAAGTTCTTAATGCTCTAAATATTTATTAAGAAACAGTTGATCGCATGTGTTATTATTTTGTTGCGTTTTTTTGTTGTTGTTGTTTCCCTATTTGTGAAATTCTAGATTTAGGTGATCCCAGAATCCTTCTCAAACTAAAAAAAACAAACAAAAAACTATCATTGTCATTCTCTTAGCTTATTATGTTCATGAAATAATAAATAATATGTAATTACTACTAAATCACAATCATCAGTCTATCCAACTTTGCCTCCTTTAAAAACTAAATGTCTTGCCTCAAAATGTCAGGCTTTTGCTATAATCCACAGCACCCAGCCCAAAGCAAGGCTCAGAAAGGATTCCGTGTATAAAATTTAAATTGGCATTGCCAATTCTCCACTCTATAAATGAAACTTCTGTGAGCACTGACTAGCCTATGACTTTCTAATGTATGTACATTATTTTATGAACATCCCTTTAATATTTAAGAAATACCTATATGGCAGCCTCATAAATGGTGCACAATTACATCCAACATTGATTGAAGAAATGTAGGGAGAGAGAACGAGATCTAATAGATAAACACTTGTAAGATGGGCACCATGATGTCCAGCCACAGAAACAACCTTACTACAACCTCCAATAGGTCAGGTCAGCCACTACTCATCACAATGACAAAAGAACAGTTTCTGATAGCAAATCTCTGAGAATCGCTGCATGTTTGCTGGGTCACATCTGTATCACAGAAGCAGAGGCCATGGTCGTCAGGTTTAATCAGTTCCTTTCTGGATTTGTGGACGTTTATAGATGCAATTCAATTACCCCAGGGGCCTGAAAGACAAATCCTACAGGCAAGCAAGTGATTTCAATGATGCATGAAATCAGTCTATGCCTTTCTACAAGATTTCTATATATACCTCCAACAAGCATTCCTACACAACTTCGCAATTTTCTCTTAAAAGGAAGACTTCATCATCTCAATTAGGCTAATCTAAGTCAACGGTTCTCTTTGCCTTTTTTTTTTCCCTTTCTTGTAGCACTCTTTAAACATAAAAAATGCACAGAGGTTTCAATTTGGGTAGTGTGGGGTACGGGGATGTCATTATCATATATGGCCAGATTATAGGTAGGTTATTGGTTCTAAGTAAGTTCTTCTGCACTAAACAATTAGAGAAAACTTAGAAAAGCCTGTCAAATATTGATAATATATATATATGTATGTCACAGTATTCCAAGTAATCAGAATATATAATTTTATCTAGTCACTAATTAATAGAGATATAAATCAATTGTACTAATAGATGAATACATAATATGTTTTAGATATATTAAAATGAAAAGCAAAGACACTTTTAAAGTAGCACTAGACCAAAATATGCTTTCATATCACTGGCATTTGCTTCTGAAAGGCTAGCTCCCAGGCATTCTAGTTTGCCTACTCTAAACACAGAAGTGCAGAAGAATCTTTGGATAAAGAAAAAAGTGTCGTCCCTGCTACAAATCTTCTAGCTGGGAAAACCAAACATACCTATAAAACAATCAAGCAACTACAAAACAAAAGGTAATGAAAACTGACCTGGGTCATAATTCTGGCTCCAAGACTGACCAGCTGTGTGACTGGGGCTGGGCCTCATTCCCTTAAAGGGGAAATGAGGGCATTGAGCTGGATGCTTACAGAGGCCTTTCTTGGCTCTAAAATTCTGTAAATCTGACGCAGCACAAGACCTAAACAATAGGGCCAAACTTCATATCTACACTGAAGGGCGTTCAGAATGGAGTAGAGGGAATCACTGAAAAGCCTTTGTAAGGCATTGAATTTGAGTTAAAAGTGACAAGCATGAATTAAGCAGAAGAATCAAAGAAAAAGAATTCTAAATGATGAATTTAAATTCAATATTTCCTATTCAGAAATGACTGTCTTGCGGGATCAATACTCTTTATTATTTTTTGCTATTTTTCTTAAGAAGGGCATGAATGGTAAGAAGCAATCTCTTTCCAATCTTGCTTATTCTTGCAGAAGGAGCATGAGAAAGATTCAGGTAAGTAGAATTTCCATTTAGTTGAAAATTCTATAATATATTACCTGGTTGGCATTACCCAAACTTAAAACTTTGAAAATTTCACTTATCTCAGATAGTTGGGGGATAAAATAACTGAAAGGGGATTAACAAGAGAAAAATCTAACAGCATTAAAAATAAGTAACTTGGATAGTAATATGTGTAAAATACTATATGTGTCATATAATAGCCACTCAGCTGGTATGCAGTTGTTAAATAAATACAAATAAAAAACGCAATGCCTCCTTTTGTTGAAAGAATACACTAATGATTTTTTGCAATTACAGTGTTAGCAATTTTCAAAGGACTTTTACATACAATATTTATTTAATCTTCAGAACTATGAATGATATAAAGAAGAAAATGTTAGCTTAATTTTACTGATGAGAATACAAAAGTGGGTCTCAGAGATAAATATTCAGTTGGAAACAGGGTGTTAAAATCCAGAATTGGAAAGGGCCTTTCAAGTTCAGCTAATTTAATATCCTACCTAGTACAGAAAGTCCCACTGCAATGCTCAGCCCTTCCCCCAAAGTATAAGG